CCGGACCGAGCCGGGCCCCGGGCGGAGCGGCCCGGACCCTGCCGTGGTTCCGCTGCCTGCGGTCAGTCCGTGGTGCCCCCCAGGCGCCCGCGCAGAGCCCACCTCTTCGTCCCCGCTGGGCCCTCCAGGAGGGTAGAAGCCCTTTCTCCTGGTGCCCTGAGTCACAGGTCTCTGCCTCCTATGCCAGCCCTGGCCCCAGGCCCCCCAATTTTGAATTCTCCACCGGAGCTGAAGACAGACTGGAAAGGGGGGTCCCAGCAGGCACCTGCACCGAGGGCCCCTTGGGGTCATCATGAGTCTGGGGGGACTGACGTTGGCACGTCTCCTTTGGAAGTTGCAGTGTGAGGACTCTGAGAAGTTTGTTTAGACCTTTCTAGACCCATACCTCTCTCCAGGCCCAGGATATGGGCACCTCCTTGGCAATGGTCAGTGACCGTCCTGACCTCTGACCTTAGCCTGCCCTGTGAGTTTCTGTATCTGGTAGGCACAGTAGCGCCTTCCTTCCTCTCCTATCTAAGTTAGTTAGAAACTATCAGGGGAGGGATCACCTGGCCACACAATCCCCCCACCCACCCTCTTCTGTGGCCCTGGGTGTTCCTGTTGAAGGACCCAACAGGACTGAGCTCAGTCCCTCCAGTTTTTATGCCCATGGAGAACCAGCTTAGGCTGCGCAGTGTTCCCTGTGGCTGGTGGCTTGTGGTCTCTGGAGTGGTGCTGGTGGCCCTGTAGATGGGGGACAGAGAGGCTCCAGAGGGCGGGAGCGAGGAGGTCAGCCAGCACGAGGCCTCCATCTGGGTGGAGGGGCCCCAACAGGAACAGAGAAAGGAATCATATAGGATGGATCTACAAAACCAGGTGCCGCAGGGTCCTCTGTCCTTCATCTGCCTCCACCCCTCTTGCCCTTGGAGAGGGACGCATGTGGTTGGGGAGTGGGCTAGGGACCCTTGGTGCCCACATTGGCCATCTTCCATCTCTGTCTTGGGGAGAAGGATCCAGGGGCACTTGCCTGGGTAGGGTGGCATTGCCTTGGGTCTGGGTGGGGCTGTGAAGGAAGGTGTCCCGCGGTGCCAGGCTGGCACAGCCTGTGTGCCATCAGCCATGCTGGTGTCGTAATTGGCCTCCAGAAGGATGTTGTTGGCCTCCTTCTGCCCAAGCACTCCACCACTCCTGGGGTCACCTCGCCCTGTGCTGGGTGTGAGGTACATGGTTCTCCGTACCGTCTGGGACTGTGTCTAGGACAGAGGGAGCCCATCCGACCTGGTGAGGGCTCAGGACAGGGTTAGATCCTTCCAAGCTGATGGTGTCTCCTGGGGAGACCTCAGCTGGGCAGTCACTCCCCTAAACCAGAAGTCCCCCATCACTTGCTTTCCCTGTAACCAAGAGCCCAGGCAGGCAGGCTCCCTTTCCTGGAACCAAAGAGCAGGTCTGTCTGGGGGTGGGGTGCAAGGACAGTCATTCCAAGTCCTGAGTTAGTCCTAGTAGGCCTCACAGGTCTGTCTACTTGCTCTGCAGCAATGACTGACCCCTTCTGTGTTGGAGGCAGCCGCCGACTCCCGGCGTCCAGCAAGAGTGGGCCTGGGAAGGATGGCAGCCGGAATGAGGTCCGTCTTCCTGTGCGGCATGACCCACCAAAGCTGGGTAAGAAAGGTCATGCCAAGGTCAACTCCAAGCTGTCACGGGGCAGCCAGTGCTGAGTGTGGGCCACGTCCCAAATGTCCAGCTCCTAGGTGCCAGGTAGCAGCCTGGGTTCCTGAGAGCCTTCCCAGGGTGGGGCAGCCAGGGGTCCTGGATTCTTGTCCTGGGATGACTACAACCTTCCACACAACACACCCCCATGCCTCATTGGTGGGGGGAGCGAGACTCACTCCAGGCCTGACCAGCCTCCTGGATAGCAGATAAGGCTACAAGAAGCACAGCCTCCAAGCCATGATGTGCCATGTGCTGCAGGGTTGCCGGTGGCCCGGGGTGGGCAAACAGTACCCAGCCAGGCCCCACTCTGCTTTGACCCGGGAAGTCCAGCCAGCGACAGGACAGAAGGGAAGAAAAAGGGGCGTCCGAAAGCTGAGAACCAGGCCCTCCGAGACATTCCTGTGAGCTCCCTGAGGGCTGGGGTGGGGCTCATGCTGGGGTTTGCCGGTTGAGGCCACTGCCCTGTCTTTGCCTGCCGTCCACACATCCAGCACCAAGCTCTCAGCCCACATCAGTGGGCCACTCTGTGCCTCAGGGATTTATGGGGTGGCCTGGGGCCCCTTGAGCAGGTCTAGTGCACCCTCATGGCTCAGGGTGGCCTGGATCTTGCTCCGGTCCCAAGATCTAAGGGCTCCTGCAGCCTTTCTGCCCTGTAGGCATGGGCAGGGTGCTGAGTCTGGGGCTCAGGTCAGCAGAGGCTGGGGTGGCTGAGGAGTCAGCAGCCTGGCCTTTCCTACGCCCAGCTCTCCCTGATGAACCAGTGGAAAGATGAATTCAAGGTGCACTCACGGGTGAAGTGTCCCAACTCAGGGTGCTGGCTGGAGTTTCCCAGCATCTACGGGCTCAAGTACCATTACCAGCGGTGCCAAGGGGTAAGGGGCTATGGGCTGGGGAAGAGGAGGCCTGAGCCCACCCTGCCCCAGCTCTTGGCTCGGGGTATGTCTGCACAGAGGCCTGGGCGGCCCATCCCACGCCTGCCCTCTCCACCCAGGGTGCTATCTCAGAAAGGCTGACCTTTCCCTGCCCCTTCTGTGAAGCCGCCTTCACCTCCAAGACCCAGCTGGAGAAGCACCGGATTTGGAACCACATGGACCGACCCCTGCCTGCCCCCAAGCCTGGGCCAGTCAGCCGGCCAGTCACCATCAGCCGGCCTGTTGGGGTCAGCAAGCCCATTGGAGTGAGCAAACCTGTCACTATTGGCAAACCTGTAGGTGTCAGCAAACCCATCGGTATCAGCAAGCCAGTGACGGTCAGCAGACCTGTGCCAGTCACCAAGTCAGTGACGGTCAGCAGGCCTGTGCCAGTCACCAAGTCAGTGACGGTCAGCAGGCCTGTGCCAGTCACCAGACCAGTGACAATCAGCAGGCCTGTGCCGGTCACCAAACCAGTGACAGTCACCAGGCCCGTGCCGATCACCAAGGCTGTGCCAGTCACCAAGCCCATACCGGTCACCAAGTCTGTGCCCGTCACCAAGCCAGTGACAGTCAGCAAGCCAGTGCCAGTCACCAAACCGGTGACCACAAACAAACCGGTGCCGATGACAAAACTTGTGACAGTTACGAAACCTGTTCCAGTCACAAAGCCGGTGACGGTCAGCAGGCCCATTGTGGTCAGTAAGCTGGTGACAGTCAGCAGGCCCATTGCCATCAGCAGACATACACCGTCCTGCAAAATGGTGCTGCTGACCAAGTCTGAGAATAAAACTCCTCGTGCAACGGGGAGGGCCAGTGGGAAGAAAAGGTACGGGGTGCCTTCTGGGTTGGGGGTAGGGTACTCCCCAGCTGCAGCCTGGGGTAATGGCCCACAGTGAGCCGTCCTGCCCCTTACCTCAATGCTTCCTGCAGGGTTGCAGATGGCATGGACACCTGCCCTCTTCCACCAAAGCAGGTGAGGTCAGAGAATGGGGAGTACAGCCCGTCCACCACAGGCCAGGGCTCAGCCTTCCAGCCTAGCACAGACCCCAGCAGTGGCCCCCTTTCTCTGGGCAGCAGGCCCTTGGGGGACAAGGAGGCACCAAGGGCCACCGGCCCTGTGTCCCTACCTGAAGAGGGAGCCGAGCGCACGAAGCACAGTAAGAGGGGGTGGCGGGGGCAGGGCAGGGGCAGCAGCCAGCCTCCCAATGGTTATTTGACCAGCCTTGGCCCTCCTTTTCTCCCCTGAGTCAGGAAGGAAACAGAAAACACCCAAGAAGTTCACGGGGGAACAGCCATCCATCTCAGGAACCTTTGGACTCAAAGGTGAGGCCCCAGTCAGCCAGGCACCCCTGGGACTGGGCCTATGCACAGGTGTGCCCACACCCTTGGCCCATACCTGCCCCACCCTACATGTGCACACAGGCCTGGCCAAGGCGGAAGACAAATCCCGAGGCTACCGTGCCAAGAAGCAGGAGGGGCCAAGCCCCGAGGACTTCCGGAAGAAGGTGCCAGCCCCTTCCAGCACTGTCAGCAAGGAGGTGCTGGCCCCTGTGGCCCATCCAACCCCAGGTGGGACTACTTTGTGGCAGGCCCTAGGCCTGGTCTTGACTATGAGGCGGATCCTGGACCACACAGGGAGGGGGGGGCTGAGTGTGGACCATGGGCTCTGTGCTTGGCGTCTAGGGCATCCAGGAGCCTGCCATAGCCCCTGAGACCCTGGCCCTGCCCCACAGGTGGCCCTGAGGAACAGTGGCAGCGGGCCATCCATGAACGGGGGGAGGCCGTCTGTCCCACGTGCAATGTGGTCACCCGAAAGACCCTCGTGGGGCTCAAGAAGCACATGGAGGTGTGTCAGAAGGTAAGGCTTCCCCTGGGGATTCCAGGAGGAGGTGCCCCAGAGCAGGTTTTCATGAGTCACATGTCTGCAGCTGCAGGATGCCCTCAAGTGCCAACACTGTCGGAAGCAGTTCAAGTCCAAGGCCGGCCTCAACTACCACACCATGGCTGAGCACAGCACCAAGGTACACCACGGGGCCCAGCTGCCATCCAGCCCTGACCACTGACCACTGACCACAGGCTTCCCACTTCATCTCACTCCACCCCACCTGCCCAGCTCTGACACTGACCTTTCATTACCTCACTGTGCCTGATTACGGAATCTGTGGCTCCGACATGGGGCAGGGGCAGGGGCAGGGGCCCTATGGGGATACGGGCACTGAGGCTGGGCCTGCCCCCCAGCCCTCTGACACCGAGGCCTCTGAGGGGAGTGAGCAGGAGGAACGTGAGCGGCTACGCAAGGTGCTGAAGCAAATGGGGAGGCTGCGATGCCCCCAGGAGGTCAGTGGGACAGTGTGGGTGTGGGGGCAGTGTGGGGCCAGGCACAGCCCCTTGCTGGCCTCTTACTGACCCCTGACCCCCAGGGCTGTGGGGCCGCCTTCTCCAGCCTCATGGGCTACCAGTACCATCAGCGACGCTGTGGGAAGCCGCCCTGTGAGGTGGATAGCCCCTCCTTTCCCTGCACCCACTGCGGCAAGACCTACCGCTCTAAGGCCGGCCATGACTACCACATGCGCTCCGAGCACACGGCCCCGGTGAGTGGCAGGTCTTCCTGTCCTTCAGGCACTGAGCATACATGTCCCCACCACGCTTGCTTATGTCCCTGCCAAGACACATGCCTGACTCACTGCACCTGCAGACCATATGGCTCCTGTTGTTCACCTTGGCCTCCTCACCCTGCAGCCTCCTGAGGAGCCCCAAGACAAGCCCCCTGAGGCTGAGGACCTGTTGGGTGTTGAGCGGACCCCCAGCGGCCGCATCCGTCGCACGTCGGCCCAGGTTGCTGTGTTCCACCTGCAGGAGATTGCGGAGGACGAACTGGCCCGAGACTGGACCAAGCGGCAGATGAAAGATGACCTGGTGCCCGAGACGGCACGGGTGAGCCGCCTGGTCTCTGAGCAGGACGTGCCTCCAAATGGGGTCACCTGTGATAGCCCTGCCCCCGTGACCTGGGCCATCGGCTGACCTTCCAAGGTTCAGATCTCCCTGCCGAGGGCACAGTTGAGGGCCTCTTTAGGGCAGTGGGGGTGTCAGTGTCAGCTCTGCCCGTTGCCTGGGCTCACCCTCATGCCTACCTGTTTTTACAGCTCAACTATACTCGGCCAGGCCTCCCCACGCTCAGCCCCCAGCTGCTGGAGGCCTGGAAGAATGAAGTCAAGGAGAAAGGCCATGTCAACTGTCCCAATGATGTGAGCTGGGGCAGGCTGGTGGGTGGGCATGGGGACACTGGGACTTAGGGACAGAGAGCCCAGATGTGGCCCTGGGTGGGAGCCTTCTAAGTGGCTAGCCTGCCTGTGGTCCCTGGACCCCTGCAGGGTGCTCAGACAGAACCCTGTTGGCAGAGAGGCCTCGACCTTAGCCTCAGAGGCCCAGCCTGCCCATATCCCAAGGCTCCTGTGGTCAGGCCCCTGACTTGTCCAGAGAGGCCCAGAGTCCCTGGGCTGGGGTAGGGGCTATGCATGTGTGAGGGGCTGCCAGGAGATCCTTCCCATGATTGTCTTCTGCCCCAGTGCTGTGAAGCCATCTACTCCAGTGTGTCCGGCCTCAAGGCCCATCTCACCAGCTGCAGCAAGGTGAGTCCTAGGCTTCAGCCATGGCCGATAGGTGCTCAGCACTCCCCTCAGGGATCCCCACACATGGGACATGCAACCTCGCCCTCTGGGGCAGCCTCCTCCATGAGCCCAGGGACTTGCTGGTGTCCGTGACCAACCCAGCCTAGGACTCTTTGCCATCCCCTGCCCTAGCCAGAAGTCAGTCAGTCCCCAGTTGGTCCGCCCACCAGGGCTCCTCTGTGGGTACAAGTGGGCATACTGACCTAGCCAGATAAGCTGTGGTCGCCTTACCCTGTAGCCGCAGGTGCGGTGGAGTCCTGGTCCAATGTCTGGGCTGGGCTGCCGTCTCTTGCAGGGAGACCACCTGGTGGGAAAGTACTGCTGTCTGCTGTGTCCGAAGGAGTTCAGCTCCGAGAGTGGTGTCAAGTACCACATCCTCAAGGCCCACTCGGAGGTGGGTGGCACGGCCTGTGTGGGACCCCTGGGGCCTGTGGCTGGCCCATGGAAGGCACTGTACCAGGGTGGGGTGGTGGGGTGATGTTTGAGTGAGAGGCCAACATTGAAAGATCTGGTAGCTTTTCTTTCAAGTGGCTTCCAGCTTCCCTAGGAGAGCCGAGAAATTTGGGGACCCCTCTTCTGTCCCAGGGTCTCCATCACTGCTTTTTTCTCCTCAGAACTGGTTCCGAACTTCTGCAGACTTGCCTCCCAAACACAGGAGCCAGGACTCATTGGCACCCAAAAAGGAGGAGAAGAGTCTGGCAGGAGGGAAGAAGCGGGGCCGTAAGCCCAAGGAAAGGCCCCCTGAGGAGCCTGCACCCAAGATTCCCCCCCGCCAGGATGACTGGCCCCTAGGAGGCAGAGACAAGGGGACCCGGGGCTCCACTAGCCGGAAGGTGGGAGCCAGCAAGGCACCCGAGAAGTGAGCATGGTGGCTGGCAGGTGATGGGGGCCTGGTCCCCACACTGGCCAAGCCCTCCTCTGACCAGGGTGGGGTAGCTAGCTCTGGGACATCCTGCCCTCCAGTTCCCCACCCCCACCCCTGCTTACTCTTTGTCCAGTGGGGGCAGCCAGCCTGCTCTTCTCCCCGAAGGTGGCCCTTCCCCTGTGCAGGCTGCTACAGGGCACATCTAGGCTGGGGCTTCCTGAGAAGGGCCAGTGGCAGTCACAGAAGTGCAATAGCCTGGAGGGACATTCATGGGCCTGGCAGAGTCTAGGCCCTGGAGGGGCAGAGGGAGAGTCTACGACCTGGGCCTCAGTGCCATGAGGGTATGCAGAGTGGTCAGATGCCTTTTGGCCCTGGCCATGCGAGCTGAGTGCCCCATCAGCTTCCTCAGGCCCAAGGCTTGGGGGTCCCTGGTTCTAGGCTGATGAGGATACCTGAGCAGCCTCGCCTCTCTACCCAACACTGGAACCCCAGCACCCCCAGCTACCTCCCTGGACAGACCCTGAGTCTGACCGCTGCCATGCTGACCTGACAGTTCACCCCCCTCACCCCTCCCTGCCTCTGGTTCCTTTGCTTCTGTTCTCTACCTCTCCAGGTCCGTCCTCCCCCGCCTGTGTGAGCCCTGCTGTGTTTGGGCCCCTGACCCACTAGCTTGTGTCCATCCTGGAGAGGAAGGTGGCCCCACTGACGGGCTCTCTGCCATCCCCTCTGGTGCTCCCTGCTTGGGGCAAGGGAGGGCCTCTGGTTTTCCATTTGCTGGGCTGCAGGAGTTGGGGCCACATGGAGCTTTGCTGATACCACTGGTTGGGATAGCCTGATAGGTTAGGGATGGGCCAGTCTGGGCCCTGGGGCCATGGGCATGTGGGGCAGGGAACTGGGCCCAACTCTGAGGAATGACCGCTGCAGGAATCAGCCTTCTGTCTGCTGGTCTGGTTTGGCCTGTGGCCAGCCTCCCAGGGGAGCACCCTACCCCTTTTTATACCTGCCCCTTTGTTTATGGTTGTGTGGTCTTTTGATATGGGAGCTGAAGGCCTGGGAGGGGGCTTGGCCAAGGTCACAGTGGGTTGACGGGAGCTCGGGGCTGTCTTGGCTCCCTTTGAGGCCCTGAGAACAGCTAGGTCTGAAGGTTGGGCAGGGTTCAGGCTGGAATTCAGGGTGCCTGGAGGAGTTGGCCAACAGCTGTGGCCTCCTCCCTGGGCCCCACCTTCCAGCTGTGGCTGCCTGGGGGAGGATGACACTAAGAGTTGCTGGGTTTGAATGGAGGCTGTTTTCCACTGGGGGGCGGGGGTGGGCTGAGGGCTCGGCCTTGCCGATCCTGGATGATGTGAATTTTGATATTTGCCCGTGTGCTTGTGTCTCCTGGGTGTGTAGTGGATGCCAGTCTTGTTGCTGTGACAAGTAACAACCTTTTTTTATTCTGTTTTTTATACAAAAACTTACAACAATCTGACATTTTGGTGCTAAGGGTTTCCTGGTGCCGATGGTGGATCTGGGGTATGGGCTAGGGTCCCTGAGGTACCTCCCCTGCTCAGGGAGGCAGTACCAACTGGGCACCCCTCTGCCCCCCAGCTGCCATCCTCACCCAGCCCTGGAGAGGAGGGGCTCCAAGCTAGACTCCGCTCTCCTCGCCCTGTGGTAGGGGGACAGGTTCCCAGGGGCTTTGGGACCAGGTCACTGTGCTGCCTGTTTCTGGCTTCTTTGTCCAGAGGCTCTGATCCTGGGCAGCCCTGGCCTGGTGGTGTAGGGAGGGGGTGTGGGCATGTGGACTCCTCCCCACTCACATACATGGGCACATGGGAGTGACCCAGTGTCAAAGTCAAGGTGGGGCAGCATGGGCTGGGCTTTGGGAAAGGAGGGCTTTCTTTCCTGTGCTGTCACTATGGTGTATAGCTGGTGGAGGTGGGGTCAGGCAGCCCCTGCAGGGTCAGCCTCAAGAGGGGAGGGGGAAGTAGGCGCTGACGGGAACCCCAGGTACACTTTCTCTGCCCTTGTCACCAATGGCTGGAGGAGGTTGGACCTCAACACCTCTACTGGGGACAGCCGCCCGCCCCGGCCTCTCAGGTACTTGGCCCTTGGGGAGTGGGGGGCTGTTTTTTGCTTGGGGGTGTTTCCAGGTCACCCTCCAAAGTCCACAGATGGTCCCTGGTGTGGGAACCCCATCTAGATGTGTGGGAAGAGGTGGGGTCCTGGATAACTTGATGTTTAGCACTTTAACCCCCATCTTTGTCTTTAAAGTGGGTGTGGGGGCTGCTGCCAAAAGTAGCTATTGGGTTGGACCCTTGTCTCCCCCTTCTTCTCTCCCTGCTTCCTGCACTCAGTGGCAAGCTGGTCTGCAGAGACCTCTGATGGGGGCAGAGCCCTGGGTGGTTCAGCAGGATCTGCCCACCTCCCACCCTGGCGGGAATACAGCCAGGTAACTACCTGGCCTTGACTGACACCTTCGGTGAGAGGGACCAGAGTGGCAGGCTCCCAGGGTTGGTGGGCATGGCCTCTGCCTGAGACCCAAGCCCTGGGCACAAGGCGGAGTCCCTTTCTGAAGATCTACCTCTGGCCTAGCCCACCCCCTGCCCTGAGAACAGGAAAGGGGCTGACTAAAGCAGCTGACACTTCACACAAAAATAGGATGCACTTTATTTGCTTGTGCAAGGCAGATGAGGGTGTGTCCTGGTGTGACCGGTGGCCATCCCAGCCCTAGCCCCTGCCCTGCTGTTCCTGTGGTTCAGAAGGGAAAGAACTGGTGCACCCTGACCTGCGGAGGGCAGGGCTGTCCCAGCGTTTCCTCGCTGTGCCTCAGGAGGCTTGTCCAGGAGCTCTGAGGCTCAAGGGGGCCGGGCAGCACCTCCGGCCTGGCAGCCACGTGTCCTGTACTTTGGGTTTCTTGGTTTGTTTTTTAATGCCAGTTCTCCGTACATAAGTGCATTTTGAAAGAGAGGTTCCAGCTATCACTTGTAACCATATATATACATATATATTCTATCTACAAAGTGTTTATTTGCAAAATGTTTTGGTGAGCTCGGGCCCTGCCCACCTCGTGGCCATCTGTCCCCGGTCCTCGTCCCCGCCCCCTGGCCCTGAGTGGCACGGGGGCGGGTCATCAACTGTATGTATTAAATACGACTGTATCAAATAAATGTTTATTGATTTTTTTCCCCCCAGGGATTGTGTGCGGCTGCGTTTGTGGTAACACGCCGGGTGGGGTCCTTCCCCGGACCGCCCGTGCCCGCACGTGCCGGGCTGCGGGACTCCGAGTCCCGGGGAGGCCCAGCCGCACGGCCTTGTGGGACTTGTAGTCCGCGCGGCGCGCCTGCGGACGAGCGGAGCGCGGCCCCGAACTACAGCTCCCGTGGCCTGTGCGCCCGCACCGGCCCCTCGCCCAGCGCGGAGGCCTCGGAGCTCCAT